GGGCACCCTGCTGTGGGTGAGCGTCTGGAGCAGGGGGTGGGATGAGGTGATCTCCAGAGGTCCCTTCCAACCCCACCACACTGGGATTATGATACAGAAAAAAAGAAGTGTTTTTGATGGGAAAGCCTCTACAAGTAAGATCTAATAAAATAACAATTTATTCCCTTCTGAATGGTCATTACTTGTGTTAAGAAGGAAACAAGTCAGTCACAAGTACAAGCCATATCAGTCACCCTGAAATATGAAGTTCTCCCACCTCTTTGTCTGCTTTTCCAGCAAGTTGATCTGTGAGAGGCTTATCCAGGGGGACCTCACAGCTATCCCTTGGCTTTGGCTTCCTGGGGATGTGGACTCTTGGAGAAGCAAACATAATGCTGCAGATGCACTGGGAGGGGGATGGAGTGTTGGGCTCCAGTGTCTTCTCTACACCTTGAGCAGCTTCCTGAGCACTTGGCTTCACCTCTCTTCTGTCGTGGTGAAGTTCAGTATGTTTTGCTTCTCCATTGCCCCACCTTTCTTCTAACTGGTACCCATTTTTAAGAGGGGAGACATTTACATTCACAGAACTCCTTGCTGTATTTGGGGACATTTCATCATCAGCATCCATGGATTCCATGATGAAGTAGTCCTCATCACCCTTACTGGTGGCCTCTTTCTCTGCGGGATCATTCCTGAGCTGCTCAACAGCAGCAGATTTCACCAATGGCTTCTCTGTAGTTGTGGAAGGAGGAACATTCTGCTGGAGTGAGTCTGGACGTGTTGGATCTGCCCATTAAAAAAACCCAAATAATAAATAAACTATGATATTTGAGAAGGAAACATCCAACCGATGTCTCAACTGTTTCCACCCTTCTAGACCTGGGGATCTGGACTTGTAGCCCTGCTGCTGCTATGCTGGGAGGGACAGGCACTGGGGCTCCACTTCCCAGAGGAATTAACTCCACCTTGGGAGCTGAAAGCTGCCAAGACTTTGGCATGAACCTCATCCCTCATCTGCATTTTCACAGCTGAGCTACAGGTTGGAACTTAGATATAGAGGGTTGCTCTCAAGTCACAGTATGGAAAAGAAAATACAACAGAATTCCTCACAGAACCAAAACTTTTCTCTTTATGTATTAAAAGCTAAGGGGTAAAAAAAATGAAAATTAAAGAGCCAGCAATTAAGGTTTAGTATTTTTTTCACAAAGTTTCCCATTCCAAAGGCAAAGTGCTGCCCCTGAGGAGCTGTTACCCAGTACCTCTCTGTGCCTGCTGCTGCAGCTTCTGCTTCACCCTCAGGAAGAACCTGTGTGGGGACTCCAGGATGAGCGGGTCGGTGGCCAGGGCGTCGGGGGGTTGCTGCCCCAGGAGGGGGGAACCAACAGCCCCTGCATCTGGGGGAGAAAAACAGATTCATGCAGGGGCAGGGGAAGAGAAGTGCACCTTTCATAAGATGCCAAACTCCACAACGAAACCAATTGTTTTGTTTTCTTTCCCAAGGCAGCTGGGCAACACAACCTGGCCTGGCCCTTTCCATGGGGTGCTGGATGGCGCGTGGCCTCAGCTGCACAGGAGAACCCCCCTCGGGGTGGGTCTGCACGTCTGGGGGGCACCCAGGAGCCCCAGGAAGCTGGAGGTGCCTGCAGCTGGGACATCCCCATAGCAGTAAGGTCTAACCAGCAGCACCAATACAGACACCTTCTGATACTCCATCAAAAGTCATTATGAGTTTGTGATGTGATGATGCAAGGGCAAAAACAAACCTCTTGGAAACCTGCTGCTAAAATGGAAGAAATCTTTAGGAGCTTTCAGATTTTATTGAAAATAACCACAGACTGGTTTGGGTGGGAAGGGGACTTTCAAGGCCATCGAGTCCAAACCCCCTGCAGGGAGCAGGGACATCTGCAGCTAGAGCAGGGTGCTCAGAGCCCCGGCCAACCTCACCTGGGATGGTTCCAGGGATGGGGCAGCGGCCACCTCTCTGGGCAGCCTGGGCCAGGGGCTCACCACCCTCAGGGTCAAACATTTGAAAAATGGAAGCTGAGACCAGGAGAAGCACGAGCACCACGGGGAGCCCAGGAGATGCAGAGCTGAGGCACATCCCCTCCAGTAGCCCCCCCACCACAGCAGTGCTCCCCCAGGCCGGGGGTCCCAGCAGGAGCGGGGTGCTGCCGTGGGACTCCTGGCTCCTCAGAGCCCCCCGTCACCCCGCAGGCCCCCAGCAGTCCCCCCACGGGAGGGACACGGGTCCTGGCCCACGGGACACGAGCGCCTGGGGAAGGCACCAGGACTTCAAACCCCTAACAGCTTCTCCACCAACCTTCCCCCTTTTGGGACTGGCTGTAGGGAGCAGTCAAGCAATAGAACCATTTTGGTTGGAAAAGACCTCCAAGATCACCAAGTCCAGCCATTGACCTGCTCTGCCAAGTCCACCCCTGAGCCATCTCCCCAAGCACCACGGCTGTTAAACCCCTCCAGGGGTGGGGACTACACCACCTCCCTGGGCAGCCTATTCCAATGCCCCACAACCCTTCCAGTGAAAGAGTTCTTTCTAATGTCCAGTCTAAGCCTGCCCTAGAGCAGCTTGTGGCCATTCTCTCGTGTTCTATCATTAGTTACTTGTGAGAAGAGACCAGTGCCTGGTAAAGCAACTACTTCAATTTTATTTTTACTTATCAAGTGTGATTATCTGGCTTTCAGGATGTTGCACAGGGTCAATCCCATTCATAAACACAACAGAAGGAGCAGTTAAAGCCACAATAGGCAAGAGCTGGAGAAAGTACTGTGGGAGGGACACTCTGAATGTAAAGAAAAGGGGATAGAAATCATCTACACTAGACACATTGTATTCTTAGAAAACACAACACCCCAACTTTTTTTTAAAAAAGAAGCGTGGGAAGGTGGTGAGACACGGGAGCAGGTTGTCCAGGGAAGATGTGGATACGATGATGAGTACTGGAGGTGTTCAGGACTAGGTTGGACAGGGCTCTGAGCGACCTGCTCTAGTGGGAGGTGTCCCTGCCCATGGCAGGGGGTGGGAATTACATGAACTTGGAGGTCCCTTCCAACCCGAACCACGCTGTGGGAATCTCCGTCCCAGCTAGGGGAAGACCAGCGCGGTCCCGGCACTTTCACTGAGCAGACACCCTGGCCGCGCTCGCCAGGCCCTGGGAGTCGGAAGCGACGCGCAAGCGACAAGCGGCACCGAGCGAGAGGGCGAAGCGAGACCCCTCCGCAGAGGGGCCGAACGAACCTTTCTCCGGGCGGGCGCCGGCGGCCGGCGCC